CTTGTTGTGTATGGGCTTTTCTAATTTTTACTTTGGGCAATTGGGTATTTGATAATATTTAGCTATGTGAAAGTTTTGTGCTTTGAAGGAGTAGTATGGAAATGTTTTTGAAGGAAACTGACATGAAAGTTTGAATATTTCTTATTGATTTAGAGATTGCGTAAGTGGGATCTCATTTCCGATATTTCAGTCTGTTACTGTATAATTGTAATCTTCGTATGATACGAGAATTGTTAGATTGTCATGGTAAAAGTTAGGTAAAGCTTCTTTATAATCCGATTGTATGTTGGAATTTATTCTTTCAGAAAATGGTTGAGGAAAATTTCGAGGAACAGGACGTAGATAATGTGAAGGAGGTCAATATCGAGAATCCACAGGAGGTTGTGGAGGAATTTTCTGAGAACACTGATCCACCTGAAGAAGTAAAAGTCGAAAATGAAGAACTGAAAGTGGACAACGGTGAACGTGTTGTTGCTGAGGAAAAGAAATGGCCTGGGTGGCCTGGAGAGAACGTGTTCCGACTGTTAGTTCCTGCTCAAAGAGTTGGTGGTGTCATTGGACGCAAAGGGGAAACTATTAAAAAAATATGCGAGGAGACAAAGGCTCGAATTAAGATTCTCGAAAGTGGCCCTGGCTCCATGGAAAGAACTGTGAGTTACCGTGGACTTTTTGTGAAATTTTATTAACCTACTTTTCTTCAATCGTATTTTGATTTAGTTTTGGAATTCTTGAGAGTACTGGTTTTTCAGAGTAACACTTGAGTTATGTTTGGTTCGGTAGCCCCAGAAGCAAACTCATTCTTTTCCTTATTCTACCTAGAAATAATGTCATTATGCTACCACATTTATTCATTAATATATGCATTTATTAATTCATTATATCTACCTCCTCTTCTTACCAAAAGCTTCTCTGTTACACTTCCAATCATCAAACATGTGGTAAAAGAATTTATTAAGTTATTTTTCTTGTAACCTCGCTACCTGCGCTTTCCTTAATTCTGAAGCCTCTGGTGTGTGTCCATTCTGGAAGCTTTACGTATGTTTTTGCACGTGTTTGATATGGCCAACTTTTGATATATAAGTATTGCATAAAATGTAAATGCTAGGATATATAACTATTGCATAAAATGTAAATGCTAGGATTGCTCTTGATAACTGCTGTAGAAATCTGGAGAACGTGTGAGAAATTCAGAATTGGTTTATTTCTCTTAGAGTAATAAGATTGAGCACACTATTGTATTATCCTTGGATCTCAAAAATATTCAACTCTTCGGTGACACAAGATATGACAAAAATATTCATATCATATAATAAAGTAGGTTAGATACTAAAACAGCTAAGATAGTAAAAATATTAAGTATCCATCAATTAAGTAAAAAAATCTCTATAGTGGTGACAAAATGAATTCATGCAGGTTTGCAAATTAAGCAAGATTTGAATCTATTGGGTTCCTTCGAACAAGAAGAATCAAAGATTCAAATTGCAGTATTGAATGACGTTTACAAGCGCTGGCATTTTCTGATTATGTCAGATTGATTTTTGGGCTCGCATTGCTCTGTATCTGGTAACTTCAGAATCTGGTCGATGGGTGTCTTGCAAAAGTTTGTGAACTCTCGTGATAATTAAATTATTGAGGAACCAATACGACTTGATGGACAAAGAATCAGTTTTCTAAAGGATAGTCCAAGAACAATGAGTTAATTTGTAAAAGGAGTACAAAATACCTTCAATGGGAGGTTCTCGATAAAAAATATGGAATCTATCATAAATAGGAAAATGGATAATCCTAATGCGTACGGAATCTCAACTTTCAACACTATGTAATTCCCTGGAATCTAGACTTTTGTATTTTCTTTATAAATTTTATATAAAATTTTCTTTATATAAATAAAATACCTAAAGTCTTTTCTGAGCATGCATCTCTTGTTGGCCATTCACACAATATTAGGCAGATAATTATATGTGGTATCACTAGTTTTGATCTTGCAAGTTTCAAGTTATTGGAGGGACTTTGGTTGAACTATATGATGATTTTTCAGATAAATGCCCTTTGTTCTGTTTGCAGTATTGGTTAACCCAATGAGTGATTGAAGAGAAATTTCATTGCTCAGGCAATGTACAACCGGTACTTGGAAGTAGTTCATAGTATCCTAGTGTGGGGTTGAAATCAGTACAGTATTCTTACAACTACTCCCTGATTTAGCCATAATTTTTCTTTCTCAAATGAAAAAATGTGTTTATTGTTTCTGATTAAATGTTATATAGGTTTACCATAAGCAATCAGATGGTAATTGGTATATTCTACAATAAGCTTCATTACTTCGACCAGTTAAAATAATGTGTAATGCTGGGATATATGGTGATATGTTGACTATCTTACATAGATTAGAGTTCAACAGACCCTTTACGCGCTGCCTTTGTTCATGCAGGCATAGGCATATTGAATATCTTAAGTTTGAATTCTTGTATGCTCTCTAGTTTATTATTGTCCTTTACAGAAGTATATTTTGCCATTTGTATCAGGTAATGGTTTCTGCAAAGGAAGAGCCAACTCTTCAAGTTCCACCTGCTGTCGATGGGCTTCTGAAGATCCATAAACACATTATCAGTCTAGAGTCAGATCCAGCCAATGTACGATCAGGTCAAATTTGCACAAGGCTTCTGGTGGCAGCTTCCCAGGCTGGCAGTTTGATTGGGAAGCAGGGTGCTACTGTAAAGTCTATCGAAGATGATTCAAATTGTAGCATTCGTGTGCTTGGTGAAGGTGACTTTTTTTAATTATGTATGCACATGTGCTTGCTTTGTTAACAGTTGTGCTTTGAGTAATTCACAAAAACTGAGAGTGAAATGCACTATCACATTGTCATTAAAAATTCTGATAACTCTTTCAGTTTATGTTTGTGCTCGACATCCCCTTTGTATCAATTTGATCCCCGGGTGAAGTTAGGACATTGCCGTAAACAAATGAAGTTGCATGTAGATGTAAAATACGTTAAATGTATGAATTTTCATGTTATCTTTGAATATATTACTATTCACATTAGATTGGAGATGTGTCGGGTGTCTACTTGTTCAGTTTGCTTTCTGTCTTAGTTTTTAGTTCTCTCTCTCTCTCTCTCTCCCTCTCTCTCTCTCTCTCAAAGTATCATTATGTGGATCTTGTCTGCATGAACACTAACATATGAACTCATAGGCATATGAATAGTTATCTTTTCAACGAAGTTTCCTAAACTTCTCGACTCAATCCTTTCTTATTGGCTATTTCTTATTATTTTGGATGTAATCATATTGCAGGGAACTTGCCAGTATTTGCTCTTCCAGATGATAGTGTAGTTGAGATACAGGGAGATCCTGCAGGTTTGCAAAAGGCAGTTGAACTAATTGCTACACATCTTAGGAAGTTTTTAGTGGATCGAAGTGTGATTGGAGTATTTGAGATGCAGGCAAGTCCTAGAGCTCCTTTTTCCAAGTGTATTGTGATAAACTGTTTATTTTCATTAAAAAAAAAAGAAAAATGTTTATTTTTGTTTTTGCATTCAAACATATTATCATGCAGCTACTCGATTTAAGCAGATGCAAAATCCAAACTTTGGAGCAAACCAGAACTCACCCCCATCAAAACCTTGGGGGCCTCCTCAGCCAGCTTTCCCGATGAATGCTGGTAGACACGGTTATGGTCCCGAGCATTCGTCTGTGGCGCCTTATCCACGTCAATATGATAATTCTTTCCCTCCGGTAGACATGCAACCTCGTCGTCCTCCTGCTTATGGTATGGGCTTGCCAATGGGAGGGGCGCAGACGAATAATGTGCAGCAGCCTCAAGCAATGATTACCAAGGTAGAAAAAGAATTGCTCTCTCTTTTATATTCTCAAATGTTAATTGATGGGGTTTTTTTAGAAATGTTTGCCTGAATATTATGAAAGATGAAAATGTCTGGTAGATGCTTATGTTGGTGAGTTAACTACTTCTTGTTCGATGTATTCAACTTTTTATCGTAAGGTGTTGTGTGGTGTTTGTAATGTTTAACTTGTGTCAGTTCTATTCCTAGTCTGTGTTTGTATAAAGATATATTTGCTCAAAACGTTTTTTTTAGTTAACCAGAGTTAATTTTGAATAAAGTTGTATAGTTAGTTGTTAGTGGACTTTTGATTTTATATCAAAACAATATTTAAAATAAAAGAATTAAATTTAATTTGATTTTTTTTTTGTTAAACAGAGTTAATATTGAATAAGTGGTAAGGTTAGCTAGTAGGATTTTGATTTAATATTAAAATAATATTTAAAATAAAATAATTAAAGCTGATTTGATGTAAAAGTAGGAGAGAGATATGATGTTAAGTGATAGTTACTTTAAAATTATGTGAGTGGATGAATAGTAAATTAAAGTTGATGTAATGTGTAAGAATGATTGGCTGGTGTTATTGAATTATATTGATAATATAGAGGATAATGGAGTTGAGTTAAAGTTGAGTTTAGATTTTGAGTACGAATTGAATATGGATTGTGTTTTTTGATACACAAACACACCCTTAGTCCCTTGGTATTGAAATTATTGTGATCCCAACTGATATTGTCCGATATATTTCTCTCTTTTGGGGGATTGGGATTTCATACCCGGTAAGGCAAAAAAAAGGGACGTTTGGTAATTACTGTCCATTTGTGTATTTTTTATTACATAATGCAGTATGTGCACATATATTAGCAAACACTAAACTTCAAAGCCTCAAAGGCATCTGTTGACTTTGTCATACAGAAGTAGCTCGAATTGCTTAATTATTTCTCACAGTTATTGCCGTTTTATTTCCTATTCACGTTCTTCAGGTCACACAGAACATGCAGATTCCACTTTTATATGCTGATGCTGTTATTGGAATTAATGGTTCAAATATAAGTTACATTCGTCGTGCTAGTGGTGCAACTATCATAGTGCAGGAAGCTAAAGGTGTTCCTGATGAGATGACTGTGGAAATAAATGGGTCTTCATCACAAGTCCAAACCGCTCAACAGTTGATACAGGTTTTCGAGCGCCCTTATATAACTACTTCTGTTTCAGTTTTTTTTCTTTTTTCTTTCAATGTGCCGTAAGATCAAATTAATGAGTTATGCATTTTTAAATTGTGGTCTTACAGATCCTGCATGACATTCGTTTCTCCTTTACCAGTTTTTACCTTTGTAGTTAAAGTTCTAATATTCTCACCCCCCCCGTATTATGCTCTGAACCTCTGGTAGTTTCTGTTATCTCTTGATACAAAATTCTAAATATTTGCTATTTCGAACAATTCAACTTGGCAAAACCTGTAAGTAATTACATTTTTTGTTGCTTGCATTGCACGATGAAGAATTCGCTTGCCGAAGCCATTAGCAGTGGACAAAATCCTGGCGGAGTGCCGGCAAGAAGTCAAGGATATAATCCTTATGCATCATCTCATGGTCAGCTTGGCTACCAGCAAACTGGAGGAGACTATAATTATGGTTATTAGAGATTGTGTAATGTTGTTTTTGGATTTTATGGCTTTTACTTTGTACAAAACTAGTGGTGTTGTTTGATGGTGATTGTGAAGTGTGTTTGTATTGTTTTTGTCTATCACCATTTCTAGAGGCGCCATGTTTTCCAATTACTTAGAGCAAATACTTGAGTAAAAGCTGGCTACATTATGAGTAGAGCAAATTTATAGATCGATCTATGAGGTTAGGAGTTAAGATATAGAATGATTTAATTCAATTCACAATATTCACTTGTAGTTATAAATAGATTTTGTCTAAGTAGATGAGTACTTTTCATATAATTAAAATAATTGATTTAAAATAATCAATTATAAAATAATCAGTTTTGCTGGGTTATATTTACTTCTTTTATAATAATTTAAGTTTAGTTATGTTTTATCAACATTATCTTAATATTATAATAAGTAATAATACAAACAATTTGAAAATATTTGAAAAGTAAAAAGACATAACTTTAAAATTAGAATTACAACAAAAAAGTATGCCCAAAATATAAAAAAATACAAAAAGTCATAGTACTACTAGCCCTTGTTTGCTTTTCAGAATGGGATTGGACTAATTTAGTCCAATGGGGAAGGATTGTACTGATTGGACTATTCATGTGTTTGTTATATATGATAAGGGGTAGGATAACTTTAAATTAAAAAAAAAATGTGTAGGTGGTGTAAAATATTGTTTTATCCCTCTCAAATAAATCAAAAACAGTCTAAAAATTATTAAAATGGGGGTAAAATAAAAATTTACTACAACAGGATAGGAATAATTCCACCTATTTCCTGGGATTAGTATATCCCATGTATGAGGGATTAAGCCATTTTTATACCGGGCCGATGGGATTCCTACGGGCCTTAGTCCCATGAACCAAATGCAGGATTAAGTCTGGATTAAGCGGGATATCTGATGCAGAATAAATATAAGTATTATTATTATTATTATTATTATTATTATTATTATTATTATTATTATTATTATTATTATTATTAT